CAATGAGGAAATAATTCAACTGGGGGGGGGGGTTAGAGGGAGGATCAGTGAGGGTGGCAGGGGGGAAACCGGATTGGAAGTCAAACGAGGGAGGACAAGGGATAACGATATAAGGGGACAGATTGCTGGGGGAATAGATAGGGAAAGGATGGTAAAGGCAGCATTGGCAACGAGAGAAGGGGAGTAAGCAGATGGGTTGTGAATTATGAGGGATGGGTTAGGTCTCGGAGGTGGGCCAGGAGGGAATAATGCAAGCTGGGTATTGTGGGCCGGCCCAAAGGTGAGGGAAGAGATGGCTGGGGTGGGAGTATGGTTGGGCTTGAAGAGAGGGATGCAAGGGTTGTCGGATGAGTTAGAAGCTGGAATAGGGGGAATGAGGGAGTTGGGTCTAGAGATTGGGCCTGCCTTGCGGGTCCAAACTCTTTTTTTCTGCATACTGATTGCCAGAGTTGCATGGGGTTCAGGAGGCTGCGGCGCATGCTTGGAGTGAGGCGGGTCAGGGAAAAACGAGGAGTCGCGGGAAACCCTCGAGGATGTGGCGCACTCCGAGAAAACCGGATTACGAAGGATCCCATCATTATTCGGCTCCCCAACCAAGCAACTTTCAACGGCCTTGTCCAGAAGGCGGCGACGGTTCAGATCCGCCATCGGACCAGCCACCTCCGGCACCGGCAGAATTTTGACGAGAAACACCGTTGTCCCGAATCTCACCGGCATCAACGAGGGAAACTTCTTCTTTGGTCTGACTTTGATGCGAACGCAGGGATCCGACCATGAACCGTAATCGACGTCAATGAGCTCACCACAGATTCTCCCAATGTTTTCCAGGACGTCCCGCGATCGGAGGAACGGAGGAACTCCAAATAACATGATCCATTGCAGACCACCCGGGGATGCAAAGCAACGCCCGTCGCCTTCTTTCCAGAATCGAAGTAGAACATTCCATCCCCGAAACTTACCATGTCCATCCTCTTGCACCCTGATAGCTTCGGACAGAGATCCACAGATTAGGTACCAGAGGTCCCCTGCCCTGTTGGAGAAGACTGAGCCCTCTGACAATCCCCACCGCTCTCTTGCCCATACTACAAAATCTTCCGTCCGATTCCTTTCCATCTCCCCTTCCCTTCCAATTCCGTTCCATCTATCCTTCCCTTCCTATTCCCTTCCAATACTGCTTCTCTCCCTCCCTGCCGTCATCATCTCTTACTTCTTCATCTTAGAGACCCTCAAATTGAGCTCTCCCTACTCCCTTGTCTCCTGCTTCGACGACGACGGTGGCGTCTGATTGGTGAAATCGCCATTGGATGCTGCGGCGATTCTTAATCGAGAAGTTAGGGGTTAACCCTAGGACGGATGTTGCGGATCCGACCTGGAAATCGAAGAGGGTGGACTCGATGGTCTTGCCATCAGACTTGTGGTGGTGGAAGAGATTGAGGAGAGGAGAAGGCTAAGCCGATGCGGGAAGGAGGAAGAGCAAGGCTCGTTCCCTCCGGCACTAGAAGAGACCAAGGAGAAAATCCCTTCTCCGATCTGCTTCCTCACTCTCCTTCTAGTTTTCCCTTTTTCAGATTGGGAGTGGCGCCATTACCAAGGGGAGGGTTTAGAGTAGATGATGATGTAATGAGGTGGAAATGCACCACCGGGATACAGGTGGGTTGTAGGTTTGCGCATCGGAAGCGGCAGCGAAGTGGGGTTTCGCCGGAGGGAGGAGTGGGGAAGAGGAAGCGGCGGGGGAAGAATCGGGATTCAGGAGAGAGTGAGAGTGGGGTTTGGAAATAAAAAAAAAAAGACTAAAAAAAGAATTAAAATAAAAATGACATGGAAGCCACATTACTTCCACTTCAGCACCGGATGTTGAGTCATTAACGGAATAAAGTTTAAGGCCAAATTTTTCAAATTATTTCAAAAGTAAATCATAAATGTCTTATTCAAAAAATTGGACAAGAACTATCACTTACGTTAAACTTCGGACCAAACAAAAATATTAACCATTTCAAATAAATAAAGAAAGGTCAATCATTAAAACTCTCTCTTGACATGATAAGCTTAAACGTTGGGTTAATTACATGGTTGGTCACTGAGATTACAAAAACATTTAAGTTTGGTCACTCGAAATATTTAAATTCATTGGTGGTACTTCAGTTTAATGAAACCGTTCACATTTGGTCACTCTCCGTCCAACTCCGTTAACTTTTGTTTACGTGACGGTCAACTCCAAAAGTTCTCCGTTAAATATGTGACCTGACAATTTAAAAAAATAAAATATTTGTTTTAAAATTTCCATCTCATTTCTAACTATTTAAAATAAAATTATAACTATTAAAATTAAGAAGAAAGGGGGAATCCTCTTGAATCGGCGGAGAGGCGGAGATTGGAGAGGGAGAGGTCGAAGGAGGAGGTGATGGGGTTTCTGGCGTCGAGGGCTCATTTCCACAACCCACCCAAATCGGCGGCGGCAGCGGCGTCCTCAGGCCAGGTGACGGATCGACGCTCAGTCAAAATCCGCTTTGTTCCGTCTCTCTGCCCCCCGCCAGTTCCACCATTTCATAATCGAAAGACACCCAAACCTGTTGATCGATACTCAATCAAAACCCCTCACTTTCCGACTCTCTCTCCGATTGGTCTATCCCAAAGAAAAGTCATATCCCTTAAGCTATTCACTTTGTCTCCCAAGCCAAAACTTTTCGTCTCATCTATTCATCTTCATCACCCAGCCAATTAGAGTTCCCTCTGATGGAGGTGACCGACACCAAGTAGGGCCCTTTCACTCTTGTTCATGCGGCCAGATGGAGAAGCTCGACGGTGTTGGTGGACTTGCTGAAGATGACAGTGACTTCGACGGAGGAATCGATGTCCCCGTGAAGGACGTCGATTGGGTGGATTAAGGAGGCCCAGATGCCATGGAAGACGAGGGTCTGAGAGATGGTGACGACGTATCACTTGTTGATAGACCGTTAATTGCACATGTTTTTACCCCTATTCTTACACCATTTGAGATGTTGATTCTCGTGTTTTAGGCCGATTTCACGCTAGGTTGTTCTTGTTTGTGATATTTCAGGTCCTAGTACGTGAATGAAGGTTTGGGAACGAGTTCGGGGTCGATTGGACGAAGATCAGACGTGTGGCGAGAAGCTGAGGATGCCACACGGGCACTCCTAAAACCCACACGGCCGTGTAAGTAACCCATGTGGTCGTGTGGAATTTACCGAGCACTCAACCGGGCATCCTGGGAATTCCACACGGCCGTGTGTCCCTAGCCGTGTAGGAAGCCTGAAGTCCACTTAATCAAAACTCCGCGTTTTGACACTCACACGGGCAGCTGGGTAAGCCACACGGCCGTGTGGCCTGGCCGTGTGATCGGGAAAATCTGGGTTTTAACCCAATTTCGAGCCAAAAGGAGAGGGAATCGACTTTTTGGAGCAAAAACAGAGCCCTAGAGAGAGAAAGTGCGAAGAACACATCCTAGAAGCGATCTTGGAGCTGGGTTTCATCAAATCGAGCTTGGAGATCATCATAGGAGTGAAAATCATCATCGCAGAGCAGATTCTTCCCATGGTTATGAGTATGACTGCTTTGTATTCTGTTTTCCCCTCTCTCTCTATGGAGTAGAACTTTCTCTCACTTGGGTATGAAGAACCCTAGTTCCATGTGTTAGGGATCTTGATTGTAATGACTTGGGATTGTTATACTGTTTGATTATAATCGAATGATGCATGATTCATTGAATTAATTGAAGTCTGATAAGCTTTTCTTGATTACTGCTGCAACCTGAGATAGATAGAATCTAATTAGGTTGTTAGAGCTTCATCATTCGGTAGTAGTAGATTGGTTATACGAGAGTTAGTCAATCTACTGCTTTGTACTGGAATCCAATTCCGGTAGTGGAGTTCTGTGTTCATAGCCTCAACTTTCTATCCCGGTGAAGGTTAGTCGCCTGCCGAGTAGTTGGACTGAGAGGGCTTGGTCAGCTTAAGAGATTCCAAGCTACTGTCGGATCTTCCGCAGTTTAATCAACAGTAAATCAACCCAGGGTAATTACAATTGAGACCTAACTAAAGAGCTAGGGGGACTCATTCCCGAGTGACTCTCCCTTGACTTCAGAAAATCGAACCAATTCCTGTTTTCTTACTGCTTTTAGTTAAAACAACAATCACTTAGTTTGCTAAATAATAGATAATCACGGAGTAGGTAGTAGATCTAGAACCCGGGTTGATAATTAGAACTTGCCACTTTACTGCATTCCCGGACTGCGATTACACTTGGTCGCAGTTTGGTGTTGTGTTTTAGCGTGTCACTTGTCGACGGCGGAGAAGAAGATGGTGTCGGATGCGTTAAGGAGGCAGTGTCTGAGGGGAATCGTCACGCCGAGAAATTGATTTGGGTCGAAGAGTGTTTCTCGTGGGGAAGAGGACTACCACTTCTACGCCACCTGGCCTGCGGACGCCGCCGCCACCGAATTGGGTGGGTTGTGGAAGCGAGCCCTCGACGCCAGAAAACCCACCTCCTCCTCCTTCGACCTCTTCCCCTCTAATCCCCGCCTCTCCGCTGATTCAAGAGGATTCAACTTTCTTCTTAATTTTAATAGTTATAATTTCATTTTCAATAGTTAGAAATGAGATGGAAATTTTTAAAAATTTAATTTTATTATTTTTAAATTGCCACGTCACATATTTAACAGTCAACTTTTAGAATTGACCGCCACGTAGCAAAAATTAACGGAGTTGGACGGAGAGTGACCAAACGTGAACGATTTTGGTAAACTGAAGTACCGTCAATAGATTTAAATATTTCGAATGACCAAACGTGAACGTTTTTTGTAATCTTAGTGACCAATCATATAATTAACCCGTTAAACGTTGGTAAAAAACAAAACCTAGTCAACCCATATAGATCTAACCCGACCTGACTGGACACTGGTTTCAGGAGGCAGGCTCGGGGCCCGCATTGCTGTGTTGAGTTGAGTCTCTCGGCAATTCCAAGGCCTGTTAGCATTGAATTCCCAACTAATACACAACAAATCACAGCCCACCCAACTTCGTTTCCACCGAAACCGGCCTCTTAGTACAACACAAGACCATCATCGTCGCTTCCCTTCCCTTCCCTTCCCCATATACTCTTCCTCTGATTCCTCGCCCCAGCATCCTCCTCAAGCCACCTTGCTCTTCTGCCTTCCCCGCAACCATTCTCGTCCACAGCCGGAGGTAAAACAGCTCCGCCTATTGACTACATATTTGCAATGTGATCTATTATAGTGCTGCTGTTGTTTCCTGCTGCAGCAGGTCAACCGGTTCTGCATTTTAAAATGTATCCCGTTGTTTTTTTTTTATCGTTGGAACTAGTTCGAATCCATTTCTTTGATAGTGTAGATGTGAAAAGCTGCAGTCTTTTTGCTGCGAGGAATCTCGGTAGCTTTTACCTTTTCCTGTGTTGCTTTCCTTCTTACACTCTTTGGTTGAAGAAATGATGCTGATGCTGACATATAGTGCAATCTGCTGCTGCGTCCTTTTCTATGTTTAACTAGTTACCCGGGCTTGAACTATTCAAATGTCTGTTAGATTTTAAGACTTGCTGATGTTGGCTGCAAGGATCTTCCTCTTGGTTCAAAAAATGTCTCACTGGAACACTTTCTTCTGGGTAGCAACTATTTTTTAATACTGTTTGCTTTTCATGTCGTTTCGTGTTTCAGCTCACTGATTGAGAATGTTCATTAGATTGCCAATGTTGGTCTTGCACTAGCCATTTTCATTTCTTGCTGGTTGTAATTTTGAGTATCTAAAACAGCTCTGGTATGACAATCTTTTAATACACTGTAGTCTTTTTTAACATTTTCCCAACTGGTTGCTACTTCAATTGCTCTTGTTTCTTCTTATATAGGCTCCATTCAGATCCTCCTTCCTGGTTTCTATTGGTTGGCAGCATAGCATGTTCATGTGTGTGTCAATGGTGCAACCTAATTTCTCTAATGTGATCATATGCTTTGTCTTTGCGGCCTGGCAGAATTGTGAATATAAGGATAGGAAGAATGGCTGCAGCTGCAACTCCTACTGTAGGCCTGACAACAGCCAGGACTTTCATCTCATCCCTCCATAAAACGTTGATGTCGAGGGCAGCAATTCTGAGTACAGAGTCCAAAGATGCATCTATGACTAGGCTTGCAAGCTCTTCTCACATCTCATTGAGCCATTCCTTCTTACAGAAGCCTAATTCAGTGATCCTGAAATCTAAACGAGTTGTCGCAACAAAAGCAGTGTCCTCGGAAAATGAAACTAGCGCCTTGCCAGGACTTCCTATCGATTTAAGAGGTCGATTTTTCTCCTTCACTTTTCGCCTTTGTTTGCTAGTTAAAGTAATAATCAGTTTGAGCAATCATTTGCATTAGAAAAGTTCACTACATTTTGTCTATTTGGTTTTGAAGATTCTAAATTTATTGCAACTTTTGCGCTTTATGATCTTTATGTTGTAAGACTCGAGTAATGATGAGGACATTATATTCTCAGGGAAGAGAGCTTTCATTGCTGGTATAGCTGATGACAATGGGTATGGTTGGGCTATAGCCAAATCACTTGCAGCAGCTGGTGCTGAAATTCTTGTTGGTACATGGGTGCCGGTATGTAAACAAACTTATCCAATTTCTCTTCCAATGATATAGTTCCTCTAAATATGAGATTAGTTGCAGTTGCTAAATCATGATTATTTTTCAACAGGCTTTGAATATATTTGAAAGCAGTCTACGACGCGGAAAGTTTGACGAGTCTCGTGTGTAAGAATGTTTTGTGCAAACTCCCAAATTCTGTTAAAAATATACTATTTAAGGAATCTATATCCTGGCTTATGTACTGATTCCTTTGGCGGTTTTCGCAGATTACCGGACGGTTCTCTGATGGAAATTACTAAGGTGTATCCAATGGATGCGGTTTTTGATGGCCCTGAGGATGTTCCTGAAGATGTAAATAACGATAGCATCTCATTTGCTATGTGTCTCTACAATATGAAGTAGCTATAGTCAATGACATGTGCAATTTGTGCAGATAAAAACAAACAAGCGCTATGCAGGATCATCCAATTGGACTGTTAAGGTAATCTTTTTTCATTCTTTCATGATAATGGCTACTGCAGTCTACCTTCTCCCTCATTTGTAATTGATGAGGTACATGGTTGAGGGATATTTTGTAGGAGCTTGTTGAATCAGTGAAGCAGGATTTTGGCTCTATCGACATCCTTGTCCACTCCCTCGCTAATGGTCCAGAGGTCGGTTACCATTGTATTATTTCTGTTCTTTTTATTTTCCCTTACTGTAATTTCTATTTCATGAAACTGATTTACTTTCTCAGGTTGCGAAGCCTCTTCTGGAGACTTCAAGGTTTGGGTACCTTGCAGCCATCTCTGCATCAAGTTACTCCTTCATTTCCCTTTTGCAGAACTTCCTTCCTATAATGAATCCAGGTGCTGTCTTCCACCATGAATATCCCTCAAAAGGGGAGCGGAAAATATTTCGACCTTATGCGCAGTTATGCTGATATGAGTTTTACTTGTTGATACTTCAGGTGGTGCAACAATTTCCTTGACCTACATTGCTGCTGAAAGGACCATTCCTGGGTATGAACCAACACTTCTGGTTTACTATCAATCACCGGATAAGTTTAATGTTATTGCATTTATAACTAAATATCCGAAGATTCTACATTGCAGTTATGGTGGTGGGATGAGTTCAGCCAAGGCTGCATTGGAGAGTGACACACGGGTGAGTTAATATTACGTCTCAATTCCATGTAGCCTTTTCATGCAACTGACTGTGTTAGGTTTAAACATAGTTGACATTATTTGTATGCATCCTCACAGTTGTGTTAATTCAGGTGCTTGCCTTTGAAGCTGGAAGGAAGCACAAAATCAGAGTCAACACAATATCTGCAGGTACCAACTAAGCCATGAAGGGGAATTTGGTACATAGACTGCACTGTGATTCCATCGGAACTATCTGGATAGCAAGATCAACTGCCATAAATTCTATTGATATGAGAAAAAGCAATAGATAAGTTTATGTGAGAACATGTATATAATTTTAAGTTTTCCTAACTTCCATGCCTTTGCAGGTCCATTGAGAAGTCGGGCTGCAAAAGCTATCGGTTTTATCGACATGATGATAGAGTACTCGACTACCAATGCACCCCTTTTGAAAGAACTATCTGCAGGTTAGCAAAAACTACTCCCTTTCCCCTTCATTTTTACTTCATGTAGATTAATAAGTATACCATCACTGATATGAGCTCTGTGTTATGTTAATTCTGCAGAGGAAGTAGGGAACGCTGCTGCTTTCCTGGCTTCACCTTTGGCCTCAGCCATCACTGGAACTGTCTTGTATGTCGACAATGGTCTAAATGGTATGGCTGTTAGCACCGACAGCCCCATACTGGAAAAGCTCCACGCTGCAAAGGAGAAATAAACACACCTACGCAGGAAATCACCCAGAGCTTATAAGTTTTGTTTTGTTCTTTTTTTTTTTTTGTTAATTTCAGAGTACACAATAAATGCTGTTCTTCCTATCTGGGCTCTTCGTTGGACTTGTGTAACATTTTTACATATGCAGAGAGCTAGCTGATTTCAGTTGAATCGAACACAGAGGGAACAAACAACTTTGTGTAACATCTTTAGCATGAAAATTCATTTTGTAGTTAAGCTTTCTGCAGAGCCTAAACTTGGGAATATTTAACAATGATGATCCTCAAAAGCAGACATCACTTTGGCTTTGCGCTGCTAGCCTCAGCTCCTTGAGATTCTAGTCAGATGGGCTGGATTCTTGAGTCCTATGTGGCATCAGCTCCTTTCCAACCCCGACTGAGGAGCACATCAACTGCAACGTTTCAACCACAACTAAAAAATGAGATTTACAGAAAAACAGCTACTAAAGCCAAGAACTTTACTTCGTAAACAACAAGGTACTGTTTGATTTCACACCTGCCAATCACTGTAGTCAAATTTGAAGACAAAATGCCGGTAAGAAACGTCGCCGGAGGCAATCATAGTGGCTGATGGCGCATTCCTCGGAGCTGCCACGTCATACGAACATTAGAGAGATGGGTAACAAAGCAAGCAGGGGAACTGGGGAGAAAAGACAGTTCCTTCATTAACAAAACTTACAGACTAGATGGCGACCGGATTCATCATCAACTTGAATCTCCACCCTTCCGTCTTTTACAAGGAACGACAACGCAAACAAATTCTCCACCGTCTGTGAGAATGAGCTCCTGTTCAATACCAGGTGTTCAAGCTCCACCTTCCTCTCCTTCCTCAAGATGCTGAACATGGTCAGCATCGTTCCATCAGTCGTGCCTGTCTTCTCTTCTTCCTCGACGTGAGGATCAACCTACGTGAGAGATCGAGGCGAAGTTAACTAAGATGGCTCGCAACGTTTCATCGTTCTTCTTTTATAAACTAAGCAAACCTGTTTAGGCAAGGCAAATTGTTTGCTCGGTCGTCGGCCTCTCCTGACTGCAGGCTTCCTCTGCTTCACCGCACTGTTTGTGCCAAGCCTGTGGATGGATAAACATTTTTACAGTCAGTATAATGAAATCAAATTAGAAGGGTGTAATCTGTAATGCGTAAAAAAAGGTAAATGCATACATTGTAGAGCATCCTCGGAAGGGCTTGAATATATAAGAAACTGAAATTCCAATCTTTTGCCAGTTAACAGACGCCCTCGTTCTGTGACTATGGCTGTATTGTTGGACTCTGGCGAAGTCTCTGAGTATGAAATTGATGAATTTGGAAGGCGTAACGGCATTGGAATTGAGCTTGGCGCCTTTCACCAATGAGCTTGTAATCCCCAACAGAGCCTCTGCGTCAGCTAATTGCTCCCTCGGTCTGATCACTGTAGAAGTGCGTAACAAGAACAGAAAAAGCACCGAAACGTGAGATTGCTTGCGCACCAAGTAATAAGGAAAAACCCTATCTCAGTGCAAAATTTTGATTGGATTGCCTCGCTCGTGCAAGCTCTGGAGCTCGTTGAGGATGGTGTTGAACTTGTTGGATTCCGCGCTTCCAATATCGTCTGCTTCATCTGCGATCACGAAGGCGGAGAAAGAGAAGGTTAGGGAATTCAAATCGAAACCCGCGAATACGTTTCGAACAAGGAAATTTCGAGGGAAGAACTCGGAGAAGAAGTCTGTTTTACCTTGGATGAGATTCTGGACGGCATGGTACCGAGAACGGAGAATTCTACAGTCGCTCAAGTCGGCGGCGGCGGCTACATTGCCCGTTCCGGTGCCGGGCTCGCGTTTCACGAGTCGGGTCATCAGTTGGTGTTGTTGTTCTCTTGTCGGAGGGAAGGTTAGGGTTTTTTTTGTTGTTGTTGATGGTGATGGGGTGGTGGTGGAAGCAAAGCTAAGGCAATGAAAGGACGAGGGGGGAAAATGGAGAGTCGGTCATTCCCAATAGTGTTTCGGCGGTTTAAATTCCTCCGATAAAAGCTCCTTCTCAGCTTATTTCCCTCTTTTTACCGAGGAATTATTGGCTACACCGGGAGCACCACCTAAGCATATGATGATTTGGTGCTCCCGGCCAATTAAAATTTGCCACGTGTCGATATGGAGGAATTCATTAATTCATTGCTCAATTCTTTCCTTGGTTATCTATTCTCACAAACTAGTTGTGAGCCGGCCAGTTGGCCGGAGGAATAAGCACAAAGCTAGTAATTGGGTTGTGCTCATACCATGTTTAGTTTGGCGGTTTGTGGAATTGGGTCCAAAGCGTGTAAATTGAACAAAGTTGTTAATATTGTCAATATGTCCGAGTGGTTAAGGAGACAGACTTGAAATCTGTCATTATCAAAAAAAAATTTGAACCAAATTGTCGTTCCCCTTTGTGCTTCATCCAATGAATCCATACCAATAGAGTGCCCCATTTAAGTAGTCGGCTTTGGTGTTTATTCGATGACTGAAAGGAAAAGATTTTTTCGGTTCAAAGTGGCTTAGAAGCTAAAGTGGGAAAGTAAGCTCTTTGTAGTGGAAAATAAAAGAACAGTTAGTAACATGCAGCAGAATGCTTGCTTTGCAATAAGGTGTTTAGGCATCCATGTAGGGCCTTACAAAAATGAGAGGATCTGTACAATAAGTGTCAGAAAAAAGCAAATGCAAAGTTATACATTGCCGTTTGGAATATATATACAAATTTCGTCTCTGTTAGACACAACAGAGCCTAGATATATTGGTCAGAATTTGATCGACTACCAAATCAACTTGATCTTAACTTGATGAACATAAGTGTACTCGTTTGCCTGAGTAAAACTCATGATGATCACAAAATGAGAAGAGAGTAGTACTTGCGAACAACCCTTTTCGCTAATAGATATACCAATCTCATCACGGTCCTATGTAGCCACTGAAACCATGGGATATAACTATGAAACAAACGACCGAACTTTCACGTGCAGAGGGTTGAAACTAACAAACACTAAATCATACAACCATCATCGATTCCGCCCAAATCAGGTCACTATAGACATGCATCACAGATTATGAAATCCTCGTCAAATCAATTATCTAGACTATCTACAACCATCAACTCCATGTAATGTCTCCTTTCATTTGCTCTACGACATGAGCAGTTATTTCCGGGCGAGTAGTCTGTTTGAGGCAACGCCAAGCTCAAAATTGATCTCAAAGAGAGAATAAGTTTCTTTTTTTCACTACATTAGCTTAGACAAAAACAAACACGAAAGGTGAAACAAAGATGCATAGACAAAGTCATGGTAACCTTTTGATTCAAATATCAGTGGCCATAATAACCTAGCAACTATGAAATTACCATCTGCAGAACTCAGTAGAATAGTTGATTGAAATTTACACGTGGGATAGGGAGAATATCAGGAATTTGTGAAATAATAAGAAATAAGACACCATGAGAATTTGAGAAGCAAAGCGTAACCTAGCTTTTCAATGCTTAAAAACGTCGAAAAAGAGAGGCTTTGAGAGGAGAGTGGAACTAGAATTGAGCACTGATAAAAATAGGAATCTCCAGAAATAAAGAACACTCCTCGTAAGTTACAAATTCAATCCTACGTACATACTTGAGGGGATATGAACTTCAAGAAGAATTGGTAGCAAAGAAAGTATCATAGCAAGGAATTCGAAAAATAATCGAACCACTTTATCCACACGTTGTTAGTTCCAACAGATAATATAAATAAGTTAATCTCATTAATTCATCTCATTCGAGGAAACAACTATAGAATCCAACAAATTTATTAAACCATATTACCCTATTTCAGGAAGGGATATGATTGGTGGAAAACTCAAATCAACCTAGATTTTTTTGTTACAGACCAAAAATAAAGCTAGATGTGATTAACTAACTTCATTAACATCCCATCTAGGGGTGTCAGTTCGGGTCGGGTTCGGTTACCCGACCGAAATCCGAAAACCCGAAACCGAAAACCACTAAAACCGAACCCGAAACCGATAAGGACTTGCGGGTTCCGGTTACCCGAAACCCGAAAATTCCTTATCGGGTTCGGGTTCGGTTAAAGCAAAACCGAAACCCGAAAACCCGAACGCCTAAGAATACGGGCTGAGTTTTAGTCATTGGTGATTTTTAGCCGGAACCCAAAAAACCGATAAGCAAAACCAAACCCGAAACCCGAAACAAACCCGAACCCAAAAAACCGAAAATGTATATAATCGGGTCGGTTTCGGGTAAACCCGAAAAATCAAACCCGAATGGACACCCCTAATCCCATCCGTAACGAAATGCTTACTCCATTAACAATATTGTTCATGAATCCCTTCACTCCTGAAAACATGGAAGCTCACTAACCTCAGTATTAACAGAATTTGCCCCAAGGTTGAGTCATGAATTAGAGCTACAACGTAAACATGGTGGTAAAATACAAAGGAGTGATGTTTTTATAAGATGAACAACCAATTAATGGTTTTGTAATCGGACATACCTAGGTTGAAGAAGGAATTTCATCAAAATAACGCAACTGACACACTATATGTGTACAACGACATCTAGATTGTCCATAAGAACAGCAAGAAAACTCCGGGTCATTAGGTTATATATGCATCAAGTCGACAATTAACCCGCAAACGTATTCTTACAATGAACAAAAGACCATATTTGTGAAGAATTTGAGGTAGTTAAAAATGAGAGCTGTGGTTTTCTTTCCATTTGTCGACTATGGAAAGGAAATGGAAAGTACACGAAATCAGTATAGGGGTTCAAAGGAAGGAGAATCAAACTAAAAAAACCTAAAAAGTGTGAAATACAAACAGTGTGAGCCCTCCCAAAATCTCACCACAATCGATTTAGAAATGAAATATCTAAAAAATATAAAGGAGTAAATCAGCCCACAAATTCAATGCCTATATCTCTCGTCCCAGGGAAAAAAGGGCTTCAAGATGATACTCGAATTGGATAGGAAAATCAAAACATAAGGGGGAAAAACAATATTTCCAGGAATAAACAACCGTGGCCATAACCTACCAATTGACGTAGTGAGTTGTCGGTATGATAGAGCTTCCTCCCTAATGAGGACCAACCCCAAGTTAGAAACTACTAAATTAACCCTACTGTGTGCGATCGATTCGAGTGAATGAGATTGGTAGGTTGCAAAAGAACACCTCTGAGAAGTGTCCAGTGCACAGGCAAACCCAACACCCTTCTTGTTAAGTAGAAGAAAAAAACCAGCATATCTCAAAACAATCTCCCAGTGAGGAAAACCCTAGAAAGAGGAAGCAAAGAAAAAGGCAACTGATGATCGTGTCTGTACCACGAACGCCAATTCAATTCCAGTATGTTGTAATGCCTTGACTTTATGGAAAGGAAAGCCGCAAATTGAACCATAGGAAACGTAACACGAACGAAGAAACTGATCTCCAGGTCCACTTTAACACTTGTTTTGCTTTTGGAATTTTGGTTTGTATTGATTTTCACTTCATCAATCAGCTTATATGCTGCTGAGTTTGTGACAAGTTTGGGACAGAAGAAAGTACAATCCAAAATAGGAAAAAGAGCAAATTAAGAAGTTATGGACTTGATTGGTAATTTGCCAGAGACCACTTCACTCCAGGTACGATGCATCGTTGTCTCGGTTGCTTCTTGGGTTGGCTTTAGTGGATACGACGCCGTCTCACTCCTAACGGTCGATGGGTTTGAATGTTGGAGCTCTGCCTCCTCCTCTGCTAACTATGTTTCCAGTTCAGGCGAAGAAAAACGAGGGGTTTTCTCTGATACCCCCGCAAGCTGGTGGGCAGAGATTCATGACACCAAGCTTGGAGAGAAGGTGGTTGAAAGTCGCCGGAGGAAGAGGTTTGGTGAAGAGATCAGCCAGCTGGTGCACAGTGGAGATGTGAAGCACTTTGATGATGTTGGAGAGGATTTTGTCGCGCACAAAATGGCAGTCAAGATCAATATGTTTCGTCCTTTCATGGATGGTTGGATTTTCAGCGATATAAATCGCAGATTGGTTGTCACAATAAAGAATTGCTGGTTGGGGATGGCCAATTTGCAGATCTGGGAGGAGATAGAGTATCCATTGGATTTCGCAGCTGGTGTGAGTTTTCAGCTTCACATGAAGAGCGAGAGATTGTCGTTTGCTTCTTGCTCTTCCATGAGATCAGAGAATCACCCAAGTAGACACAGTAACCTGTTGTTGATCTTCGAATGTCGATGCAAGCCACCCAGTCTGAGTCACTGAAGGCCTTGAGCTGAAGGGAGGAGGTAGCTGAGAAGAAGAGTCCACTGGATGGAGCTGATTTGAGGTGTTTTAGGATTCTGAGAACTGCTTTGTAGTGATATTGGCTTAGATTTGACATGAATTGGCTCACCTGTTGTGTGGCATAGCTAATTTCTGATTTTGTAGTGGCGAGGTAGATTATCTTGCCCACAAGTCTTCTGTATAGGGTGGGATCTGGAAAAGGCATTGTGTAGAAACTGCTTGAGGCTGGTAATCTCCTGTAAATCTGTACCCCCAATGACCAAGTCATCAACATGCACCAGTATGCAAGTGTAGGATGAATTGGTTGTTTTGTAGAATAATGAATGATCCACTTTGCTTGATTGGTAGCCTTGTGACCTTAGTTTGTCTACTAGTTTAGAGAACCACTGCCTTGAAGCGTGTTTTAGACCATATAGTGATTTCTTCAAGAGGCAAACTGGTGATTTGAAACCAGTAGGGGGCTTATAGCCTGGTGGGAGTTTCATATAAACTTCTTGGTCGAGATCCCCGTGTAGAAAGGCATTGTTCACATCCAAGTGATGAACATGCCAATTCTGTATGGCAGCAATGGCTAGG